ACTGCGCTGTCTGCTGTGTTCCTTGGTGTTCATGATATTGTTTAGTGATTTATTTCTATTTTCAAGAAATGGCTTTCTTTTTATCATTGTTTGAAGTCAAATTGTTGTCTTGGCAGCACATTCTGCTACCTAAGACTATTTGCAGCTCCTTCAGACTGAGCTCGGGCTTCTTGACTGCGTCTTTGATTGTCTTCATACCCACCTTGTCAGTTTTAAGGAGACAGCCAGGTCTTTGTACCTGCATGTGGTATTTTTATTTACCAATCAGATGACTTCTTTAAGAAATTGGTTGAAATATATTTTATTGGGGGTGACATATTAATGAGGATTATATAGATTTTTATTTCAGCCCCCAAAAATGTATTTGTGAGCCCTATGTTCTTTTTCTTCCACTTCACAATTGATCTTTTGCAAAACCCTGCCCCCACACAGTCATTGTCCAATTAAGCGTGAGCTACTGTACTTATTACATGAACAACTCAATAATAAGCACTGCTTCAGGCTGTAACATGGCACTATATCAACCAGTTCAAAGAGAATAAATGTAGCTTCAAATATAGCCTGTCATTACTGACTGACCTCCACCTGTATCATTGCAACTCCACATTTTGGAATCTAACAAAACAAATTGTTTATTGCAGCCTCAACACTGAAAACTTTGCTTTTTAATTAACATAAAACAAGAAGAATGTAGCCTCCCACCTGGTGCAATAGCCCATAAAAATGCATTCATGGGCCACATTTATCAGTTAATCACGTGTACAGCGCACACACAGTGGCTGTGGCTGTATCTGAATACACTGAGAAGGAATATGTTACCACATGCACCGTGGCCAACCAAACACAGACTATTAAGTGTGATAGATTTCTTTTAAGAGCAGCAGGGATGCTTTGTGGTTTACAAATCTCAAGTGTTCCAGAGGCTTTTCAGGTGATTATCTTCACACTATTGATTGTTATAAATTCTGCAAACATTTCTTCTTCAACAGATGCAAGAGAAACCAGTGTAGAGAAAAGAATGAAGCATTACATGTTACAGCCATATTTATGAACATATCTGTGCCTTGGGAACATGTTGTTTTGTGATGGAGACACGATATTTAGAGCTTTATTTTTTTCAAGTGATGGCACTTATCGCTAAATATGCCTTGTGTATGCAGCATCTATCTTTATCACTCTCCTTATTTGAAAACTGTAATTACTGTGGTATAAAGTGACCTTGTGAAACACACTCATAGGCAGTATTGAATCTCTAAGGACTAAAAAGAAGCCTGCAATGAAAGCATAAAGGGACTAAGTTATTTCTCAGCAACTGCAAAAAAAGAATGTCTTTTAAACTACAGACACTCACAGGGTCTGTGTAGAAAGTTCATATAGTTTTCATTCAATAAACTCATAATATACAAAGATTGGATTTCATGCTCATTCTGAGTGGTTCTTTTCACACCAGCACATACTGCTTTTGCTGCAGACATCATCCAATAATATGACTAGGTTCTCAAATCCATGCACCACACGTCAGCCGACTAAAATTACCAAAGACACACTGCTCACTTTCATAAGCAGAGCTCCATTTAACCGAAAAGCTTGCGCTAAAATTGCTTCCATTCCTGGTCTAATGAGTTTAAATTGTTTTTCATCCATTTTTTACATGGTAAAAATCCTATTATGAATTATAAGGGAAAAAAAGCAACATCCAAAACAATGTAAACACAATGATGAAGAGAAACACTGCTATTTAATACAGAAAGAGAAGGCAAGCAGGTAAGAAACATCAAACACATGAAGACAAAAAACATGGACAGACATGCTAGGCAAAAAAGCACTGATATCCTTTGAAATGTTTAGTATTTCAGGATGTTACAATAAGTCACAGTGTATTTTATGGGATTTTATGTAATACACTAATACAAAAAAGTTTGTAGTTGTGAACTTAAATAAAAATAAAACCACTTTTTTACTGTACATCCCAGTATCTTTTGTAAAACAGCTTTGTCTGATTAGATGGATCTGTGAACATTAGTTTTCAAGTCTTGAAACAGATGCTCATTCAGATTTAAGTCTGAACTTGATTGACTTTTCTCTGATCAGCTTCCCGTTCCCTGCGGGAGAAAAGCATCCTCAAAGCATGATCCTGCCACTGTGTTTCCTGAAGGGAATGCTGTTTTCAGGTTAATGTGCAGTGTTAGTTTGCTACAGCATGCCGATTTGTATGCAAACCAGAAGGTTCAGATTTGGTTTCAAGGCTTATATCTGTCAACAGATTCTAATGTCTTGGCACATTTTCAGTCATACTCTTTCCTATTTTGGATGATGAATTGAACAGTGTTCCAAGTAATTTTCAAAGTTAGTTGGTAATTTTATAACCTTTATTTATAGTATCATTAAATTAGACATTGGTGATTTACATCATAGATAGGTGTCTTCTGAGGACAATTGTTTGGACTGGGGCTTATTTGTGGGGATTCAATATAAAGGGCATTGAACACAAAAGCATGCCACACTCTTCAGATTAAAAAAAATTCTGTCTATGAAAAATACCTTTACTAACCATGTTACCATTTTCTTCCACTTCACTACTGTACACTACTTTGTGCTGGTCTTTCACATCTAACCTCAGTTAGATGTGTTCATGTTCCAACCTTTGTGGTTGGAACGTGAACAAATGTAACAGGTTCAATACATATGAATGCTTTTGCAAAGCACTGTATGCAGTATATAGCACTCTTTTTATGCATCTAAATGTTTAACTGAAGGCAAAAAAGAAAAAAAAAAGTAGATTCAAGACATTAGATAAAAAATGTTCAGAAGCTCATTCCACAACCACAACACACAGGAATTAGAGTTATCAAAATACCCAACAGCAACAATTAATCATTCATCAGTCTTTGGAGAAAACGCAAATCTGAATGCTCCAAATTCACGCTAACAGATGTAGAGCAAGACTGCATCTTCAAACAGAAGTCTACATCCTGTTTAGCTGCTTTATGTATCAGAATTGAAACAGACACACCTGCAGGCAGGTCACAGGGTAAATCAGGTCTCAGTAGGCCTGTGCCTCAAGGTGGAAGAAAATGATTAAGTGTTTTCTGGGTACTGTGGATGGACACTAGCAGGCGGAAAAAGAAAAACCCCAAAACAACAAGCAAAGTCTTCTTTACCAAAAACAATTAACTGAATCTTTCCCACCTTATCTCCTTCAGCTCCTGTTCCTACTGTCCACCAATTCTTTATTTTTCACCACCTGACCCACATAGAAAACTCCTTGCTGGTGGGTGCTGCACCAGAAACTCAGCCCAAGCCTTTGATCCAGTTCCAGATCACTTGCTGAAAGCCTGTCACTTCAGCTTTAGGCCGCAGAGCATCCCACGGTGGCTCTTCATCTCCAAGCACTGGGCGACACACTTTTTTATCACAGCATTCACACAACCTCCATCATGTGACACATCCTTCACTCTGCTTCACTTTAAGCGAGAACAAACAAAAGAACTCAAACAAAAATAATGATGAAATAAAGAGCCAAAAAAACCACAGGGTCAATTTTGTGTTGCTGACCTTTGCCTTTCAGGTCATTCAAATACTAAATAAATAATAATCTATATTAGCGCTGACCTTATATTATTTTTAATTAAGCACTGAATTCATTATATTTTTTATATTAGTTCTTTATATATATATATATATATATATATATATATATATATATATATATATATATATATATATATATATATATATATATATATATATATATATATATATATATATATATATATATATATATCTGTGGTTGGTGGAAATATAATTTACAGTTACAATGACAGACAAGAAAGCACACTGAACCATTTACATAAAGGAAAAAGGAGGGCAGATTTAATTTAAGAATTGGCACGCATTCCTAATTTCTGCAGATGAAGGCTCATAAATGAAAAAGTCTGGAATCATGCCTAGTATGGAAATATGAAGTTATGAATAATGCCTCTGTCTCAATCATCAAGTCTGTTTTAACAAGGTGGATCAGATAAGCACCTGGAAGACTGGGGGGGGGGGAAGCACACACATGGCTGCACTCGTAACTAACCAAGAGTGGGACTAGAGTCCCCCGAGGGCCCTAAACCCTCAAATCCTCCTTGCTGGACCCTCACCAGCCTGTAAGAGGGAGCAGCAGCAAACAGCTCAGGGTTGTCATGGACGACCATGAATCTACCTGCAGCAGGCTGAGGCAACACGAAGAGTGGCTGATTTACACACAGCTGCTAATCAGTGAATGGCTCTCTTGGTAATGAAAACTCATAGATCTATACAGTAGCACTACTGATATGATTTTATCTGCCATTACTCATTTCTAAATAAGCAATAGGCAGTGGCTGTTCAACACCAGAGTGAGGGTAGGGGCCTGGGGTGGGTAAACTGTTAATGTTATGAATTAAAGATCATAAATGTTGATGCAGAAAGTGGTTACTGGGTCTTGGTTGTGAAAAATAAGATATTCTTGTATGCATGTTTTTATCCAAACATAAATTTGAGAAAGGAGAATATAGATTTTGCTCTAGCATTTAGCTGATTGCCCAATTTCACCCTCCCATTAGGCTTCAGTAGCCGAGGTATAGGCCCAGTAAACAGAAAGGCCAGCATAATGGCTTGTTTCCGCTTGGCCCTGATCCATCATCTGAACAAGTCACAGGCATTGGTCTAATCATGATTAAGACCAAAACAGAGAGTCAGGTAGACACAAGAGAGGTGCAACCATCCATTCATCCGCTAGATTCATCAGACAAATCACTTCCACTTCCAGCAAATGAGAATGAATTCATTGTGACTTACCTGTTCCATTGGTTGTGCTTGCTAAGAAGAGAGGATACAAAGCTGAGCAGCTTTGAGATAGACGGACGCAAAACAGATTCACAGCAAAGTCTTATGGACCTACTGGCTGTGAGAGCAATTTAGGAACAAATGTGTCGGAGGGCCTAATTGTAGGTTTAGAGGGAAAGCGAACTCACCACTGGAGCAGTCCAGTCCACCCCATCCAGGCTCACACTGGCATGTATCAGGAGAGACACAGCGACCGTGCATGCACTCCTCTGTACACAAAGCTGAGACACAAAGATATTTCCCCATTAGTATAACTTATAAGTGAATTAATGCATACAAACATGTAGGTAAATCTAAATAGCATACTTAAAATGCAGCTCAAGTAAAATATCCAGTAAAATTAGACTTAATGTCTCCATCTCTGATATGAATCTTAATTTAGGCCCTCGTGATTGCCATGTATTTTCAGTACTTGACATCACATTTTTAATAAATGTGTCAACAATCAAGTCGTTCAAATTCTTAAGTATGTAAGTACTTTCATAATCTGTCAAAAATGTATCAACAATTAATTTTGAAGGATGAATCACTACCTTTTCCTAGGAAAGATTTTTATTATAGATGTAAAAGAAGAAAGGGGATTCAAGGTTTAATGTATAACTGTACATGATATTCATACTACTGTCAATTTCTAAATACTTCAAATAAAAGGGATTTAAAAAAAAACAACAACCACAATAAATCACACAAATTCTGACATTTATACTGAGTGTTTCAAATATTATCTATGCTTGTCTGTTAAAGGTTTTCTTAGCCTCTCTCTGGACTTTAAAGAAAAAGTTTGATTTCAATTTAATTCAATTCTAAATGTATCTATTAATCCCCAAAATAATTTTTTTATGTGGAAACTGTAATTTAGCTTTCTTTTAATTAATTTTCTTTATTTAACCAGGTAAACCCCGTTGAGATCTGGATCTCATTTTCAAGAGGGACCTGGGCAAAAAAGTAATAAATATGCTGATGTTTGTGGGTGATAAAGATCTTATGTGGCAGTTTGTGCTGCAGCAGATGCGAAACCTCTGACTGGGGACACTGCTGTTAGATTTCTATCTTGTGAAACGGATGATCAAGATTGTCTCGTTCTTGTGTTCATAATAATATGAAATGTCCCTTTTTTGCCTAATCAGCTCTTGGGGCTCCAGAACATTATCAAGAACAGAAAATCTTTGTCATATGCTTGTTCGGTTATTAAGTCACTGAGGTCTGATAATATGTTTCACCAACAGATGACAGCACTCTAAAACAACAGACTTAAATATAAGCATTATCTGTAAAGTGCTATGCTGGTTTTTTTCTTGATAATATTACAACAATGTTATCACTTCTAACAGTAATTTGAGGTGAAAACGTCTGGGCATAAACAAAACAAAGCAAGAATTTAATGTTAAAGACACCTTGACACCTCGGTTTCTCAGCTGACGGTGGAAGCAGAATACAGGAGGTCCAGATATTATAGTATGATTTCTCAGTGAGCCTGATTGGGTCTGTTCATGTAAAAGAAAAGGGTCTTTTAAGAAAGTCACAGAATAATGTTGAAGAAGAAAAACTTGTCAAACTTGCCAGAGATGCAAACAAAAATGAGAAAGGAAACAAAAGGCTTGCAATGCACAAAAGCATTTATCACAACTAAATGCAAGGTGCAAGGTGCAAGGTGATCCGACTTGCTCCGAATTGATTGGTTATAAGAGATTTGTCCTGTGTGCTTCTGTCCTTTATCTGACTCAGCACAGATCTCACTGGAGGCAGGAGGTTCCAGGGAAGGACATGTCACAAAACTGAATTCAAAACACATGTGCATTTTAGACATAACCTACAAGAAAAATGAAATCTAATCTTTTTACACCAACTTATTTAAACTCAAAGAGAGAGGAGCAAGAAATCCAAACAGACTTTAAAGGATGTATTTAAAAGACAGGTCAGCAGCAGCAAACCAGAAGATTTAAATGAACTCTACCATTTTTGAGAAGAAGAGATGTAAAAAAAAAAAAAGAATGATGTTCAAGCTGCTAAGATTTTTCCAAATATAAATAGTAGACAAGATATGTATTTGAATCTATATATAATTTTCACCCTAGAAAAATAAGAGAAAATCTTGTTGACACAGTTGATGTTTTTTGAAAAATCAGAAAAGCTGAATGTTACATATTTCCATTTACAGTTGAGTGTTAGAAAAACATAAAACCCAACATGATGAAATCATTTCATGTCCTTAAAGTCAATGTACTTGTGATATACCAGCATATTTATAATCAAATTTGTGACTTGTTTTTCTTAGTTGGCATATTAGTTTGACTCACAAGTGACAAAAAACGTCACTTTCCAGAACACGTTGCTATCAGCAGGTTGAGCTACAAAACAACAAGCTGTAAATCACCTCTAATGCTCTGTCATATAGTAAAGCTTTAATGTTGCAAGTAGAACGCAGTGTTTACTAAGTCTGCAGTTTTCTTGATCATTTATATTGAGCTACACAACACCAGATTGATCAGGTAGGCATTAGTATTCCTGGAAGTGTTTTCACCAACTGGATGGTTTTCTTTTCTTTAGAGTGGATACAAAAGGAAACTATATGAGGTGTTTTTCTTTGTTCTTTCTTCTCTTTTCTTTTCCCCTTTTCTTCTTTTTTGTGGCACCACATTTCAAACCCAAAAGGAATAATATCACAAACTAAGTACTTAGCATGAATAAATCTGTGGCAGCCAAGGTCATCTGGCCAGCAGGGTTAAGAGAGGCTGGCTCTTATCTGGGGAAGGAGACGAGCAGGCAAATACGACAAGAGAGAACCCCTGCCTGATGGGAATCAGCGGTCCACTAACATGGCCTGTGGAGGGATGATACACAATCCAAGGGCAGCAGAGCAGACAGCCTGTCCGCTTAACTGATCAGACCTCATCTAACACTTCCTGCAACTTCTGCTCGTTTTTTTCTCAGGTTTTTCTGCTGTGCTTTGGTCAAAAAAGCTGGAAGTAATATAGCTTCCTTGTGTGCAAAATTATGACACCCAGGTATTGTCTGAGAGGTCAGTGAAGGAGCTATAGAACACCACTCAATCAGACTTCGATTCAGATCCATCACCGGCAGCAGGGTAGGGGAACGACGAGCGTATCTGAAACACCCACCAAGCACGAGTAATCGCAGAAATGCCACCGTGGCAAAAAAAAGAAAAAAAAAAAAGAAGCTAAACCAGAGATGGGAAGATAATTCAGGGCAGATTTCTGAGCATCAGTAGTCTAGCAGAATACTGTCTAATTAGATTTAGCCAGCAAAAAGAAAAAGAGGAAGAGCTACAACATTTCTGCTGACGAAAGTGGCGAGATCGACTACCTGTAATCAATGAGTCCACGGCCTGCAGAGTATTCAAAGGGAAGAGGAGACAAATTCAATGTCACCATGATGAGTTGATTTCATTTAGTTTCAATCAGCAAATTCTGATCAGCGAGAACAGGGACATGCAAATGTGTCACATCCCAGAGAAAAAAAGAAATATGGAAATGAAGTTTTTTGACTAGGGGAGAGAGGATAAAGCACACCCTTCTCTTGAGATCTGAACCGGTGTACTGAAGGGAAGGCATAATAAAGTAGAAGGTAGGTCTTTCATTTTAATTGAAATTCATGAATCACCCTGCCTAACTCATGTCTCAGGAATCTGTTGGAAAATTGAGTCTTTCATCTAGATAAAAGGCTAATCTAACTCATTATGCAGAGTTGTTATCAGAACAAGGAACAATGGAGCTAATTGGTGATTGCAATGTAATGTTATTAAATTTAATATCTTTTGCCTAGTCTAACTATAACTTATTGCAATGTCTTATATAATAGGTCCCTGTCAGTCTTTGCCTGTTTGTATTTTTTCTGTAGTACATGAGAAAAATCCCATTAGATTTCTGTGTTTAAAATCTTTGACAGAATATAGTTTTTTTTTCTTCTTCTTTTTAATTAAATACATTAGGATGTATTTTTTGAGGGGGGGTTGTCACCTTCTTTTCTGTAATTAAATTCCTTACTGTGTGAATAAAAAGCAACAAATGCAAAATGAATAAGTAATTTAATGTACAGAATCAGTTTTCTGATGAGAATCTAATTACCTTTCGTCTCATCAACTAACTATTTTGAACTCAACTCGCTCAACAGACAAAGTTGTTTAAAAATTACGTCTCAGCTACAGTCAGGGAAGAGTCATGCAGGAGTCATCTGGACTTAATGTCTTGTAAAAATAGGGACAAGAAACTCTGTAAAGCCTCTGAAGATATTATAAGCTCTTGTCATTAGTGAGCTCCTCTCACTTCTTCATGCACAACTGTAATAATCATGCTTATTAGAAGGGAAATGAGTTCTTCACATTCTCTTCATACGCTGGTAACATATTAAGGTAATGACTTACAACAGAGCAAAGGTCAAAGAAATAATAAAGACCTCGTAAGAGTTCTAATTAAAGACATGCAGATCAAAGTTCAACTTGCTCTGAAGGAGCCTTAAGAAAATTAAACAATCCTTTCTAAAGTGATGGAATGATGCGAAACAGCAGACTAAAGAAGATGAACATCTTTAATGATAATGTGTTGATTTTGTGTGTTTGTGTAGTCATTTTGGTGGTCTCAACATCCCTTGATTAATTTAGATGCAACTTGTTGAAGCTAATGGGAATGCTGATGTTACATCATATGACCATAAAGGAAAAAATGACAGACAAGATTAATAGGAACAACCCTTAAGCTTATTAGCTCTAGTGAAACAAACTTGATAAAGCGAGGAAACAAATACATGTAAACAGTGCATCTGATTTGATCCTTTTCCTTTTACACCTAACTCTGTTTTACACATTGACACTGTAGCTGATAGTGTTACTGGTGCTTTATATAACAATAAAATTATAGGAAGTCTGTTCAATTGAAACCAGTTTAAAGTTGGAAATAGATCTACATAAACTATATGTAAAAAGACTCAAGCATTTTATTCTCACTGTTTGACATTAAATAAGACTATTTTTTTTTCTCTCAGCTGTAACACAGTTCTATTTTAAATAATTTTCAAAATGCCAGACTAATCAAACAGAGTTCACACAAATTTCCTTGGTAAACAGTAGAGTTGCCTCTGAATGTACAATTTGGGTGAAACATTTTGGGAGTCTTTCCATAAGCTTCTCAAAATAGTTTGAGGTAAATCTGGCCCATTCTGTCTGAAAGACTTTGTCTAAGTCAGGTAGTTTTTTGGCTGCCATGTTCACACATAGCAGCTCTGCTTTCTTTCTCTAGGCTTGAGATCAGGGCTTTGTGATGACCACTCCAAGCCATTAACCTTGTTGACCATAAGCAAGTTTGTAAGTAATTTGGAGGGGGGGGGGGGTTCATTTGGACAACCTGAGTTTTAGTCCCCAGGTGGATGTTTTGAGATGTTGATTCAGTATTTCAGAACATTATTTCCCCATGAGGTCAATTTTGTCAAGTCCATAAGTGCCTGATGCAAAGTGATGGCTTTCTACTCTGACTAAATTTTCAGTCCATTCCAGTACATAACTTGTTTCACTGAGGATAGTGATACTCTCCTTACAGCTTTGCAGTAACTGTACAAGGTCTTTTTCTTTTCTTCTGGGATTGATGAGCACATTTTGCAAGAGAACATGTTCATCTCAGAGACACACCGGCTTCTCCTTCCTGAATATGATGCCATATTGTCAGAACACTGAAGTAGGTTTCTTCGCCTATTTTCCCATGTGTCGAGCAGAATATTAAGTCCATTCACCAGAAAAACTCATAAGATATATTGCATTCTCTTTGACAAAGTATGAGACTGGACCTTCACCAGCTTAAGTCTAAATGACAAGATTAAGATTTGTAAAAAACAAAACAAAACAAAAAAAAACAACAACATTATCTACGGATAATATTTAAAATATTTGGCATCAGTTACTCCCAATTTAATTTATGTAATAACTAAAACATTAATACACAACCATATAATTACAGAAAAGAGCACACAACAGAATAGAATAGAATAGAATAGAATAGAATAGAATATTGTGACACTAATATTTTATGGGAAAGAAATAAAATATATATTTATTTCTGAATTAATTGTTTTAATGTTTTTATGGGGTTATTCTTTAGTTTGCGAATATGTATTTATTACTTGTTAAAGAATATAAAATGTAATACTTTAAAACATATAATCACTGTAAACTATTATGTTACTGTTAGACTAGCAAAATACATAAAATTAGACTTCAGAGTGAACGTTGACATTTCCAGAAAAGAAAACATAAATGTTTGTTTAAAGGAAAGTTTGGTTGTTTTATGTCATTCAGAAAAAAAAAATCATTTAAGGACATATATAGCACTACCACTTTGGATCTCACCCTACATTATAATATGAATCCACTCTACCGCTGAATGAAAAAATGAGGACTAGGGCTTAATGACTTAGGGAATGGGTGAAAGGGCCTCTATGTAAGTGTAAAATTTGGACAAAATCCCTGAGTCCAGAAAGGGGCAGGGATTCAGACTGAGAAAATAAACAAAGAGTTTTGTTTCATTCTAAGGAAAAGGTATCCAATACTTTCTTGTGATATCACTGCCTAAGGAAAACAAGTAATTTAATCCTAGTTGTAAGTGAGGAAGGATTAAAAGGGACCATTTTGCAAAGGTAGCAGAAAGCAAACTTGCTCTCCTGACCTCTATCAACTCAATTTCCTCACTGCACCTCATTGGATTAAAGGGGTAAGTATTCATGCAGCTATAATATGTAAGCCAAACTTGTAAAGAGTGGGGCCAATTCTAGATGCACAATCTTAGTTTGCAGATTCCCCTGTTTAACACCCTGAAAAGCCATTAATAAACAAATGCCTGTGCTGTCACTTAAATACCTAATGAATGCATTATTGATCAGTCTGCACCTCACTCCTTAAGACCACCATATAATCACACCCGCTTGCATTCTCTGCTTGCTGGTTTCCTGAGAACCTGCTACCCTGAGGCGATTAAAGCCTTGACAAGGACAAGCTCAGCCGTGGTCAAAGAGCAAACCCACACGGCTGCAGTCATTGTACCAAAAAGCCCCTCAAGCTGCAAAAGATGTAGGAAAGTATTAGAGTAATTCTAATTCTAAACTTATCTTAAGAGAATAAAACATAAGGTGAGGCGAGGATATCAAAAACATAACTCTCAGAGGCAACTGCAGCGTCTTCTGTCTTTATTTGACTTGCATGCAAAGAGATTCAGTTTGATGTGAGAGAGTAGAAATAGAACTCAATGACCAATAATGAAGTCATAAAAATGACAGTGAAGGATTGTTATCAGGATGCTGCAATACTCTCAACTTTGAGGGCTGTGCTCTTCTCAAGTTATTGAATTTTGCAGCAATTTAGTATTGGGAGCTATACCTCTCCAGATTCTAACCAGCTACGTCTTGGGTTGTTAATTTTTCTCATTGTTAAACAACTTCAATTAAAATGCGCTTGCTCATATAGTAAAGCATTTGGCAGTGTGGGGTTATGAAACAAAGTGCAATCTTTAAGAACTATGCTAAATCACAACAAACCCGATCAATTCAAATAAATTCTTTTGCATTAGTGGGAAATGAAATCTTATAGCATGCTAAACAGAATTAGAAGGAAGCAGCGGTCTGGTAGGTTTTATCTGCACACCACTCGCAGTCACCATCAGTTCTAATATTTACTCTTTCTCTAAGGAGGTATAAAATGTAACATGAAATGTCAGAAGAAGGACAAAGGAGTCAGAAAATAAAGACACTCACGAACACACAAGTCTCCGCTTTCAAAGTAACCAGGGCAACACTGTGAGCGGCGCCTATACATGGTCCTTACTCCCCGCCGGTAAGCCGTCTTATAGCTGATCCTGGAAAATTAGACACACAGAGACAGCTGCATGATGCAGAAAAAAGTCCCCTATCTGAAGGTCAAGAAACATATAGAAGGTAAGCATCACTTGATATTAAGAAAAAAGTAGAGAAAAACACATAAGAATATTAAGCTGAAGACGGGTCAGAATTATAGGAATTATGTTTTCTACATACAAGCCAGTGTTCACAAGGAGAGTCTGCCTATTGCACTTTTAAAACACCACTATGGCGCATTTGAAACAGAGCAACAGCTTCAAAACAGGATGATTACCACCTAAGGTACTGACCTTTTCTCAGCCAGACACCTGAACAAAAACATTCATTTTAGCTTTTTTTAGACTTGGTTCTAATTTTTAGTAAAATAGAGGTACAGGAACTGAGAAATGTTTAAAGAAACTTATTTTTTTCTAAACGTACCTATGCCTGGTGCATTTAAACCAGTTTAGGATGTCTGTGCATCTTGTGTAATAGATCTGGTCAAATGGGTGAGCGTAGGACTCCTGGACAGTCACTGCATAGCTGAAAGACAAACATATAAAGACAGTTGTGACACAAAGCACTGTACTGTGTAGTAGCATAAAGTTTTGAAAAAAAATATACACTAGTAAAGAAAAACTGCAGTTAAATGTGTAGCTATTACAAAGTGAAAATCCTTTTATTTATCAAGCCAGTTTGTCTTAAGCAAGGTCATGTATGTCTAAAGCCTAATCTGACAGTTGCTATTCAAGAGACATGTAATCTCTTGATTACAGTATGGCAGTCCATCAATAAGATAAACAGAGGAACATTTATTTCTGCAGTTGGTTAGTAATCAGTAAATAACCTAACATGCGTGGTGATGATGGTGGAGACTGGGGCTCCAAATATGGGTGACATAAACATGGAAACTGTGGCGTTGTAAATAGCCTTCTGAAATTTATCTGCATAGGCTAAAATGAAGGGGTAGCAGTTAGTATTGTTGCTTCACAAGAAGATTCAGAATGGTGTTTACAAAGCTACACTAATATGTACAAACTCGGGCTGCTTGATTATGGGAAATAGAACATCACAAATAAGTCAATATTGAAATTATGATTAGAATAGTAAAATGCCTTGTTGAGTCTTACTGTAAAAAACTGACAGTTTATTCAAATGTTAATAACTGTTGTAGCAAAGTTAACAAAATCTACCACTTAATGTGCTTCAAATTTTGGGGGTAAAAATGGAAATTGTGAAGCAAACAAACGAACTATAAAGTAGTTTGTTGCAATTAATTTAAAAAAACAAGTACATTTGTGGAAACAAATTTATTCACATTTTAGTGCAGTAAACTATTAAAAGATTAAAACTGAACTGCACTTCTTTACACAACATATAATTATTTATCATATTTAATTGCGTTAAAGCAGGACTCTTCAGACAGCAGGGTGCCTACCGGAAGAAGTGGCCTATTCAGGAAATTGAGATGTTCAGACAGTCCGAAGAAAAACAGTGGAGACTGGAAAAGTTTAGTGTAGCAGATATACAAGCCAATAAGGAGAGAAAGTAAATAATAAAAATTCACCTCAAAAACTACATATTTTCCAGAATATATAGCGCACCTTAATTTAAGCCGCATCTACAATAAAAAATGGAAACATATATATAAGCCGCATTGGATCATAAGCCGCTGTTATCTCCGCTGTTTTCCACTGCGTCCTTAATACATCTGAAGGATTTGGCGTCTGCAACACTGAACTTTGGTTTCGTTCACGCCAAGCTCTCAATTTGTACTGCCAGATTGTTAACTTTCAACTTAAAAGCGGCATCATATGAACTCCTTCGTGTGGTTTCTATGATGAGGAGATATGAGTTTGAAAACATGCTAGCTAGCTGCTAGCAAATGAACATTAGCACTTTCTTCTTTGATTTCCAAATTTGACTTCCAATGATTCACTTCCTGCTAAAGAGCCCCCTGGTGGTTGAAGGAAAAATCCACAGAAAAGCAGCACCGGGCTATGAGCTCCGTACTACGTACATTTTTATGTCTTATATATCTTTTTTTTAAAGATTTTTTTTTACTTTCTATGTTTAATCTGAATAAAATATTTATTCTTACAAACTTTGTTACAGTCAAAGTGAAAGTAAAAGCTGCCTTTGATCCTTGTTTGAACACAACCTGAGACATCCAAACTGAAAGTGTAGTAATGACTTTGATATGCAAAGAAAGTCAATTTTTATGATGTTTGCAACCGATGCCTGAGGATATTGGAGGACCTTAAAGCCACAGACAAAGCCCACTTAGGAAATCCATTCTGATGCCAACAAGGTGGAACCACAATGCCTAAGTACCCTCACCTTGGACGGGCAATCATCCCAATAATACATCTTCTCAGTTTTCGTTCCGCCCCGCGCCTTAAGGACAGGAATTATTGCTGCTTATTTCTCATAAGTGACACTGCCCAGCACAGCTCATTATTATTCAGGCACTTTGTCTGTAATGATTGATTGGGATGAATTTACTGATCAATCCGTCTGCATATTTCATTTGATGCTTAAACTCTTCCCATCCCTGTCTTCCGCTGTGTGAGGTCAATACTGCTGTATGGATGTACTGTATAGTAAATTGAAAGGTCCAGTCTGACTCTTAGATTTCAGAAAACTAACAAAGAATATATGTTGGTGACAAGAGAACTATTCTCACCTCTCCCAGTGGCTGCAGACATTGGGGTCATCAGGGTTGAGACTTAATGCACTAGTGGTGAAGCCTAGAATGAGGAACCAAGCCAGACAGACAGCTGATGATCCCATCCTTCTCTCTGAGAGGAAAAAAAGAAAAGAAAAACATAATATTGACTTAGAGATCAACACTTAAACTGAGTCTATACCACAAATGCACATAGAACCACTTACAATATGGTAGTTTTGAAAATGTGAATACCTTTTATTTTGGTGACAGTTTTCACTTTGTTTGTTTTATATCCCTATGCAAGCTCATATTTTAAGTGCAAGGAAAATCAAAATGACTGGAGGGAAAATCTGGACATGTTTCAGTGAAAAATAGCTTCAATTCAGTGAAAAATAGCTTTGGTCATGGTGACAAATTTTTTGAAGTAGATCACTCAGTAAGCATTGTTTGTGAGACAGAGGTAAAATGTTTGCCATATCACACATTACACAGTCAACAAAGTAACAACATTGAAACAATGTTAAAACTGATATTGAAACAAAATAAATAAATCCATGAAAATAGCTATTAGATTGGCATAATGCCAATAAAAATGAAGAAGAGCTCTGAACAAGTTGTTTTAAACAAGATATCCAGACCAAAAATAAAAATTAATCAAACTCATCATAAATCAACTTGCATAAAACAAGATGTCACAGTTGGTGTTTCAAATCATATTGCTATTTTCTGGTGAATCTCAATTTCACAAGATGCAATTTACATTTGCAACAAACTAATATCCCCTTTAGGTGCATGTGGCACAGAGACATGGTAGTGGCTTTAAGGTTTGCAAAATTAAGTATTGCTACATAGAACTAATATACAAAAAATATATTGCGTGTTATATTTCCATTATAAATTCACATCTGTTCCTCACAAGTGTTTCTTTGTATTGTGCATGACTGCAAAAAAGTCCCTCAACCATATGTTGCAAATGCAGTGGTTGCTTAATAAATTTTGAAATATGTGGAAGTGGGTTACAAAGAGGACCAGGGGTCTTCTTATAAAGCTGATGGAGACACAAAACGGTGCCGGAAAATTGCATACCTCCTTTTCCGCACAAAGGCTCGGATTTATAAAACACAAACTTGAAAATGTGCGGCCCCGCACAACAACTCGGACTCATGCATGCAATGCTTGTTTTGGAGACTCAGGGAAATTCAAATTCAATACAAATTCAACACTACTTTCTTGATTTCAAAGAGAAAATAAATGTTGTCATAGCCGATATTAATTCAAAGTTCTTCAAAGAATTGTGATGGCTGTGAAAGGATATCCTATAGCAGTCTGTATAATGGCAAATATGCAGATGCCTCTGACTGAAGACACAGATGGTGAGGTGGGATTCTGATTGATTATGCTCCATGATTCTCTCAGGCCTTTAACTACAGATTACCATAAGTATTCAAAAATGCACTCTGATATATGTTTTTGGAGAACCATAACTATAAATGAGAAACTTCCAAATAAAACACAAGATTTCACAATACTTAAATGTGTTCCCTGAGAGCAAGAGAAGTGCACACCTGTGTCAGTATTCACACTGTGGTATATGCCATCAGCCTCCTAAAATGTCATACCAAGATTTTTTTTTTCTTTGAAATTGTTTTTCCACTGTTCTCCGTTGTCAGCCACCAGATTATTTTGGATAAGTGCAAGAATATTTCAATCTGGAGAGACTCAGACAGAGAAAGAAAGCGATTAGAAAAGTTTATTGACATGCATAAATAAATTCAGTCTTTGGCGCTCAGGCCCCGGCTAAGGACATCGAGCTGTGATTGCGATAAGCTCGGATGAGCATTCCCGATGCTGTTAGGAATGTCATCCCCTGGGACCCGATACTGGTGGTGGAGGTCGGTGAATGAAGTATGCCTGGAGAGCCAGGACAGTGGAGGTGGAGAAGGGGTGGAGGTGGGTTGAGCGCAGCAGCGAAGCGGAACACGCCTTGGATGGACGTCCTTATCAACTGGGGTATGGTTGGTGACATGGCTTGGACCAGCGATGATAGGTCGTCGGTGATTCGCGGGATGTGCCGATTGGATGATGCAGGTGGGGCAAAAGAGTCTTCCAGTTTGAATTTATGCTTAGGCTTCATTTCTGAAAAATGTGATTAATCAAAAATGGTTAATTAATTGATGTAACTTTCCCTCTACTTGCTCACAATAAAAGAGCAAGTCACATGGTTGATGTTAAAGGATGTCTGTTTTATCTACTGAGAAGACATGGTAATGCAGAAGTCTCTTAAATATTTTTGCTAAGTCCCAGCAGTGAAAGTAAGAGCATAGAAAATAAGAAAACAGCAGGAGATATTGAGATTAAAACAGCTATGTCACCTCAAGAAAACACGTCTGCAGATAAGTAACAGACTATTGGGAATGCAAAGATTGGATTGTAAAGCAACAGAACATGTGGCCTTCTGACTGACAACAGCTGTCCAAGAATGGTGAGAGCATCGAGTAAGAAGAGCAGTATAAGATGAATAATCAATTTCTGATAAGTACTTATTGAATATGTCTGCAAGGCCAGTGTTACAATCAGGCTTTGTTTCAGTCAGTTAAGCACTGAAAAACTCGGGCCAGCTCAGTACACAATTTTATAAAATGAGCAGTTCTTTCTATCAGCAAGTGAACCTCTGATAAGGACGCAAGTACATTCTAAGATGAAAACTGAGTTTGAATGGTGAAAATTTAATAGACCTCTACAAAATGTTTTACTCTGTTGAGAGTAATTGTAATTAGATCCAAAAATACTTAAAATTTCAGTCTAACCCTCTCGTTACTCAAAAGGAAGGCAAGATAAATAAGCTTACCTTCCCAGATTCTGAAATTACTCAAATGTAATATTCCTTGTTAAAAAACACAAAGATTCCAGACTTTGTTATTGCATAATAAATCCTCATTAATCCAAAAGAAATAAGTTTCTGAAAGCTAATTACAGTTCAAATATTAAAATATACAAAATACATACAACCAGAAAATGAAACAAATCTAAACACTACCTTAGTGTGGTAACAACAATGCCCTCCAGTGTGGTTGCTGATACAATGGGAAGAAGAGATAGCTAGCTATTTTTTGTAAGTGAGGTGTTTAAAAGGGTTAGTTTTTCTGTTTTGGTTGTGAATGTTCTGTAACCTCTGTGTGTAACTGCAAATCTTGGTTAGGATTCTGTAACAATTTTTTTTTTCATTTCAATGGGATTTTCCTGCTGAAATAGATAAATACAACAAAAGTCAAACAAGACAAAACTAATGTTAAAAGGCTTTCATTCTGCATTTGTTGAGTGGCTCACCTATAGGGTTCTGTGTCAAAAATATACATACTCATTGTTTGTTTTGTTTTAAACAATTCAAAGTCTAGCCTCAGAGTGTTGGTCAACACTCTGAGGCTAGACTTTCTAACTCGGTCATTTCAGCGTTGCATATCTCTGATTGATGTATCACCTCATAAAATCCAAGGAAGAAAAGGGAATGTCCACATAAACCACTTCTCTTCTCAGCTTTGATAGCTGTAACACTCGTGGAAGTTTTTCTGATCGTACTTTCTAAAAGGATTTATACATATTTAGCCTTAGCTGCAGCGTTCATCACCTTCATTGAGACCTTCAATATTGTGCATGTGTTCTGTTAGGGAAATGCCTGCAGAGCTCAGCAGGATTTTTCTCCTAAGATGCATAAAGAAAGCAAGAGCAGTGTGTATACGATCAGATGACAATGATGGATTTCACCCTTGCATATAATTACAGAGGATAGAAAATGCATGAGACAGAGCATGTTTTATTTGTTAATGGCTGAATGGCGTTCTGACACTGTTGCAGGTGTCAGGAGACAGTGTCTTTCAGATGTTTTCAATGATTTTTGAGAGACTCTGTTTAATTGCACAGGCTCTCACAAGTTCTGCTAATACCCTTATATTGAAAGCCACATGTAGCTCACTCACATGTGAAAGAAAATCAATTGGACCTTCACTTCCTCTAAGTAGCAGTTAATCTGAACAAGCACAGGTTATAGTCACGTTCCTTCCCTTACGAGGATGATTGATAAAAACATATGCACATTATAGACCATGACTGCACTCGTATTCAGGTCTTTTCTGTGAAAGAATTCAATTAAATACCACTGCTTGATGGACTGGAAAGCTTTTAGAGTTTCCCTGATTAGACCAGCCAACCTGAGTCAGCCAACCTCTAAATGACTCCAGACAAGCAGAATACTTCATAACTTGCCACATTTTTCAAACCTTGGTGCTCCCCCTATTATGAGCCTAAGGAGTAAAGCCAAGAGAGGATATGATTGGGTTTTTCAAATATGTGCCAGGGTAAATTGAGAAGTTGCTATTGTGACAAGTGCCAACAAATTAAGGTACCAGAGTGTGCCTAAAGTAACAGACAGAGACAGCTCCAATAGCCAGAGGCGTGTGGCCTTAAGCTCACCTAATCTTACAGCCTGTAGTCCCTTGATGTTTTTGTACGGCTGCCGAAGTGATTCTGAGACCACGAAGGGATAGGCGTGCTGATGCACACAGACTTGAGCAGGGAGGTGATGACAGGTTGCTGATCTATAGAAGAGAAAAAAATAATGAGCTCATGATGACATGCTCAACCTTCGCTCAAACACGTGCATTCACACAATGTTAGGAATTTCTAATGGGATCAACAGGTAAATAGTTCACAAAGTGAAAGGCCAGTTTATAGCACGGGTCTTCACATCCAACCACGCAGCTATCACGCCTCCCACCTACATGCTATTCACACAGACACGCACCCACACAAACGCACACACACACACACACACAATGTTAATCATGAAATAAAAAAATAATAAACTACATAAGCTCGAGAGGGACTGATAAAATGAACTTCACACTTCACACACTACAAGTGCCTTGTCAACAATGTGACGAGATCACATTATCTGCACTCAGTAACAAAGCTTTGGTAAGTGTTATTACAATAAAAATGGAGCCACATAGAGAACATTGCTGTGGTTATCATCTCAGATGGCATAGCTTTGACATTATTCTCATTTTTATTAGCTATGAATCATCATTACAGATGAATACAAAATACAAAAAATAAATTGCTTTGATTTATTTTGTTTATGAACTACTTCTGGGGCCAAGAGGACAGACAAATAATTGTCAAATGTAGTAAATCAGCTGTATTACTAAGACAGCTACTAATTATTTAAATTTCAATCACATATAGTAACAAATTAGGCTACTTAAAAATCTTGGTTTAGTAATCAGAAATAAATTTAAAGATGTGCCCCCAACAAATGCATAGATTTATCAAAGTAAAACTGAAACGCTATGAGATTAACTTCAGCAGTCAGCATATTGGTTTGATACAAGGTCGTTATGATGGATTTGGAGGGTTAAAAAAATACAACCAACGTCCCCACTTGAACTTCCAACTTTTGGGACATTTCAATTAGCTTCACCAACTTTGATCTTAAAAATGTCAATGTTAAAGTAAAATTTTAGCACAATTAGCCTACAAACTATAACCAATTAACTGACATAACGAATTGAAAGTGCTACCTGTTAAACGAACACTTTTTGGGCATATAATATGAGCAGTTTATTTTCTTCCTCTTTTAATATCAAATTACAATTACCATTCAGGACTTCTACTGAAATACACCAGGTCATTTTTGTTGCCAAATGGTGCGCTATAAGCTCTGGTCACAGTCTGTGACAACCTGAATGTCAAGGACAAGAAACTCCTTGATATTCTGTCATATCAGAATCCACCTGCCTTTTTCCTTAATGTGGATTTTAACATTTAAGCATTTCTTTTATTCATGACGTGACATTGTGTCTAAGTAACTTTTAGAAATTGTTGATTTCTCATACAAAAACAGGGAACAAAGTATAGTGCAAGACAGAGAAGCTGAATCGATATGACACTCATCACTTGAGGCTTCCCTCCTCCTCCCACACGAGAAGAAATCCCTGAAAACAGCATCTTTATGTTTTAACTTCAAACATGTTCAGTTTACACCGAACAAATTGTTCCCCAGAGACTGTATTCACCCTGAATGTGTTTCTCTCCTGTTTGTCACCGCTTTGATTACTGAGACTATGAAACCCTTTCAATCGATGAGCAGATGCATCTGTTCCAGCTGACAAACAGCTGAAATAGCAACATCTTTCAGGTTATTGAGGCACATGTACCAGATGCAGAATACAGAGTCGAGGTTTATGTAGGATACAATGCAGGTGTGTCTGAGGATAAAACCTTCAGAATCTCAATGCTTGCATTAACTTCTACATCGGACACCTACCTGGAGAAACATTAACTCAGATGAGCCAGAATCACCTTTATCCCCTGGACTGCCTATCAGCAGAGACATCTGAATGATTAAAACCATACGTCTTCAGTCTGTGACTTATTGAAGTGCAAGGCAATTAACCACCTTGTCCCCTGGCTGACCAGTTCCAGCACTGTTGCATGAATGATGCACAGCAGGAACGACAGCATGGGAAAGCTCATGTCACATCTTTGGATTTGAGCTACTTTCCAGCCCCATCTTATAGCTTTGTTTGTCCCAATGCCTGACTTTGCGCTTGCTTATGTTAATTTTCCTCAACATGATCAAAACCAGTCAACAGAGAACCTCACTTTGCATTGCAATCCTGTCTGTAGAACCATGAGAGAATTTCTGATCAGAGTTAGGCTGCACTGTGTGACATGTCTGTGCACAAACAGCCTATTATCCCACCTTTACATTCAAGCTGAGCACTCATATACAACTTTTATGAGACGTCTTGAAGCTACTCAATCCGTTTTGTAATCACTACGGAGGGATTCTCCTGCATCCTAATATGGGTTGATCTAAAGGTTAGCAATGTTACTACACTGCACAGACTGCCAATGAGATAAACCCCACTGCTGGCCATCATTGTCTCTTGCTGGTGGCTTTGAGTCATTAAGAGTCAGGCCTCATTAGAGAGGCCATGGTGTGGTGCGTCAGAGACACTGGTTTCCCTGGTTTCAGACACATACCTGAATGTCTGATGTGTTTCAAGGCCAGAAGGACGCAAAAAGAAACAGAACTAAAAATAAATGCCAGTCACTGCTTTCCAAATTGCATTTGTGGGAAATGGTGCTTACCCTTGAATGTTTCTATTGACTTAAACATTATAATCTTCACAATATTTAGATGAATATTATTTGTTGCTATTTCTTTTTCACATCACCTTGACCTTAGAAAAATGTTTTTCTTTGTTCCATTTTTCCCTTTTGAGGAAAAAAGATTACTTTATGAACTAATGAAAGAAGGATAGCACATCAGAAACATATTTTGCACACACCTAAATGAGAAGAAACAAAGCACTTCTTGAGAAAAATCAAGTCCTGTCACATCTGTGAAATATAAAAGGCAATCATGGCGTGTTGTTGTGCATGCAAATTAAAAAGAAAGCATGGTGACTTACTTTTGCTGTGACATAAGTGTATATATTTTGATCTATTTATAATTAGACAACCTCCCATCTGAAATTTACAGATGGGTTAAATTTTAATCAATTGAGGAGCATTTTTGAGTGGCACCAATAGAAATATTTAGAACAAAACAAACATTAGACATAAAAGTTAAATGCTGTATGACTGGTAATAATTATTAGCTGAATTCATCAGAAATTCAATTGACTACCTCTAGCTGGAGGAAATTCAGGCATTCAGCATGCCAAGATGAGTCTTCATGAGTGCAGACATAGAGTCTTCATATCAGAACATGTCATAAGTTATGATAGTGGTTACTGCTGTGACAAATGAATATCACCTGCTTTAATTCTTAGCAGAGACACATATCAGATTATTATTTATTATCAGAAAAATAACATAAGTGAAATCTTGTTTTTACTCCCTTTGAAGTACTAAGGTGAAAACAAATCATTTAGTAGAATAGAGTTATCATGTTTGGCATGTTTCAGAATGTGTCTTGAATATAATTAACTATATTAATTATGTGATGTCAAATGGTGTCATGTTTAAGCATATACATTAAAATATCAATAAACATTAGAAAAATTGAACATATTATGAGTGAATGTGCACATAAATCAGGAACCGTTTCAAAACCAGCTACTCTGGAGCATCAGCCCAGAGCTGCAGCACTTCCATGGCTTTGATTCCTGTGTGGTTGTTAAGGCACCTGAGAAAATGCTGTGCGTCGTTTAACAGGAGCTTAATTCTGCCTACATGGTTTATTCATGTGGCGACTTCTGATATCACGACTCTCATAAATCACACGGCACAGCACGCCGGACGTCCACGCGTTCGGGCAGGGCTCACTAATCTCAACACCATCTTTCATCAGAATAACCTTGCCTTAATGCGGGGGCAGGTCAACAATAGATACAGCCTACTGGAAGGACGTGCTTATGCCTCTTTTGTTTTCTTTACTCTTGACACATAGGCTTTCTGTCCTGTACAAACACCCAGGCAGGAATCCTCCCACTTTCAAACCACAGGCAATGTTGAAAACATGTCTGTGGTTGGACTTCAGAGAAACTTCACTAGTCTAAAGTTAGCTTTATGAATGGAAAATAAGTCACTCAGGGGAGGAATGCAGCGAACATAGGCAGCCATCTGTTCTGAAGCTGTTCAAAGAAAGAACAGAAAATGTGAAACTAATGTGAGTAAACACAATCATCAAATATAGATAATAGAACAGAGCACATTGCAACTTTGCTCTTTAGTTTTTTTACACCGTCAAACACTAGCATACCAGGTTCTTATTAATTATATTTGGATTCCTTACATACCAGGCACAAATCTACAGTCACAACGATGTCACCAATTACTAGCTTTTGGCCAATATTTCTCATAAGAAAGCTAATTAGCGAAACAAAACCATTTAATGAACCAAAATAACAGGGTGCTTGATGTCACTTTGCTCAGACTATTCACTGTGTTTGCCTCATGCCTTTAATAACCAACCCCGGGCATCACTTTGACTGTCAAATGTGTTGTAATATCCTCTGTGCTACATCTGTCCTCTCTCTGCATCCTGGCTGTGGCCTCCTGCTGCCACCAGAAGGAAGCACCACTCGGGCTCTTACATGGACCAGCAAGGATTTCTCTCCCCACTCAAACAATTATCCAGCCTGTGACTGATTGCGAGTGATGAGAACTGCTGGAGAACAGTTGGACATCACTGAACACATTAATATGTGAATATTAGCCTGTTGAACCTTCTGCTCTCTCCCACCACGATGATCTTCTGTGGAGAGCCGAGGATATTTACCAGACTGCATAGTAATTGCAGAGTAATATGAATCCTATAGACCTGAGGTCAAGCTCAACAGAAGTTAGGTGTGGATGGGAAAACAAATGAAAAAGATGTATACACTATTCAGGGCTCTGAATAGTGCAAGGAAAGTCAAGCCAAGCAGCTCGGGATGAAATGCTGAAACAACAGCATGGCTGCCAGGGCAATTTTACACTCCAGTAGTTTCACACCTCAGCCACCAAGCCCTTCCAACTCTGAACCTTGTGTCTTCTGCGTGTCTTCATTTATTTTGTGTCACTGTCCAAGATGTGAGAAACC